AATGAGTCATGGGCAGAGCCACGACCCAAACCCCGGTGTTCTGACGCAGGGCCAGTGTCCTTCCCTCCCATCTGCACCCTTGCTTCAGCTTCTGTCCTTCCAGACGAGACAGTTCTCTCTACATGCCCTCTGTCATCTCAGCTGTCACCTCTGAGCCAGTCCTGTGCCACAGAACCAGAAATCCAGATTTCTCGGGGCACGCAGTGTAGCCTTGGCCCTGTGCAAAGGCAGGCCATGTGTTCAGGTCACGGTCCAGGAAAACACAGCCTGAGATCCCCGGTAATTCTTCCTGTGGCTCTGCACACCGCCCTCTGAAACAGCGCACCGGCAAACCCAGAGCCTGTCCTCATCTAGATGATCCTCAACTCAGGCCTCAACAGGAGAGATAAACCAAGACACCTATTCTATGCCAAATAGTGCACTAGCCCCTAAACTTTGATGTTACTAAGAACTAGTAAGAGAATAATAGTAAGAGTGATATTTCTGAGGGCTTGCTACATGGAAGGCAATGTATTGAGCATTTTTCATGTATTACGTCTCTTAATCTTTCCATCAACCCTGCGAGCTAGGTGTGTTTGTTAGTTTACATAGATGCTCTTTCGACAGCGCTCTACTTCATTGATTCAGAGTAACATATGGCCACCAACATCTTGCTGCCTGGGACCCACAGCAGGTAAACTGTCTGGCTCTGCAGCCCAAGCTCATCACCTCTACAGAGTTTTGGAGCACAACCCAGACCCAGACACAAGCCTGGGCTGCCTCAAATCTAGGCAATGACCTGCAGTATGGACCCTGGGCAATTACTTTTCTTTCCTAATCCTCACTTTCCTCTAGGAAGCTGGACTGAGTCAAAGGTCACGCCTCAGATAACAGGAACCACGGAGTCAAGGTCAATGCGTGAAGCAGTCTGATAGACGACAACAGGGAGTGGTGGGGAATGTGGAAAACCTAAGTGTTCTCGAAGTCAAAAAGATTTAGGGGGCTGGGCCACAGGTTTGCTGAGATGGCATCATTTTAGACATTCTATGTGCCCTCTGATTTAGTGTCAAAGAATTTTTCTGGAAGCTACATTTTTTACATGCTACAACTGAGGCCTAATAGGCTAACACTGGGAAGGCTAACTAGCACAGGATGAGAAGACACCCGCAAAGGTGTGCAGTGCACAGCCTGAGCAGGCGTGCCCAGCAGTCCTAAGCAGAAGGCAGAGGCTGGTGCCTGGGCACAGGCGACCAACTGCTCTGCAAGTTTTCTGAGTGAGTGGCTTTGAGAGGCCAGTTCTTTAGTGGGGCATAGGTCCATCTAACCAACACAGAAGTAAGTTCCCCATAACAACAAAATGCAGCCAGAAGGAAAGGCCACTTGGGGATGGGAAAGATGGGAATCAGGATAGCAGAGCTGGAATAACAAGGGCCAGGCGTTGTCTAAAGGTAGCTGACCCCGAGAGGCCTGCCACCTCAGTGAGCGCGCTGACACGGAATCACCAATTCTCGACGCCTTGGCAGCCGTCCCGTCCGACCCCAACTGAAGACCTACAGAGGGTGCGGGCCGCGGCAGAAGGAGAAACCACTGCCAGAAACGAGGCTTCCCGATTCTTCATCCAGTGCTCCAGGAGCTCCGGACTGCTCGCAGCGGGGACCTCAGCATCAGGACACAGCAGGCCCACCCTGAGGGAAAGCCCTTCATTTATTCCCACCTCTGCTTCCTGACTTTAAGTCAGCTCTCCTTCTAGCAGAGACACAGTCATGACCCTATAGTAACACGGGGCTTTCCCACCCGCCCTTTTAAATAGCACAGGACTTCATCAAAAATTTTTTTTAATGTTAAGTAAATTATATCTGTGATCCTTAAACTTGGAACTGCACCAAAGAACTCCATAACCCAGCAGGAAAGAATGTTTTGAATAGGCTGCTGAATTGTTTTTCCAGGATAAAACTTCTATGAAAAAGTGCCAAGTGTGGAAATCCAATGTTTTATCTATGACCACAATGAGCACAAATGAAATAGCAAGTGTCCCTGTAGGTTACGATAAGAAGGGTGGCCCATCTGTGCAGTGAGGCATGGGCTCTGTTAGGACTCTTGCCCCAGAGCAAAAGTTACCAGTTATCATCCCCTGGTAGATTTAATTGCTGCTGTAACAAATTACCACAAATTTAACAGCTTAAAACAATACCCATGTATCATCTAACAGTTCTGGAGGTCAGAAGGCCAACTGCATCTCAGTGGCTAAAATCAAGGTGTCAGCAGGGCTACATTCCCTACTGGAAGCGCTGGGGAAAATTCCCTTCTGGGATCATTCCAGTTGTTGGTATAATCTAATTCCTTGCAGTTAGAAACCCAAGGTCCTGTACCCTTGCTGGCTCTCAGCCAGGGGCCACCCTTGAGCTCCGAGCAGTCTACCTCCAGTCCTTGCACAAGGGCCCCCGCATCTTGGAGCCAGCGATGGCATGGTGACTCCTCACACCTGCACTCTCTCTGTTACACCTCTCTTCTGCCTGCAGCCAGAGAAGGTTCTCTACTTTATAGGGCCAGTGTGGCTCAGTTGCTTGGGCAGCAGGCTGCAAAGCCAAAGGTTGCCAGTTCCATTCCCAGTCAGGGCGCACGCCAAGGTTGCGGGCCGGTCCCTGGTTGGGGCGCATGTGGGAGGCAGTGGATCAATGTCTGTCTCCTTCTTTTCTCCCTCCCTTCCCCTCTCTCTAGAAATAAATAAAATCTAAAATAATTAATAATAATAATAATAATAAATGAAGAAGAGTTTGGCAGGTGAATAAAGTGGAAGAGGGATTCTAGGCAGAAAAGCATGGCACTGCCTGGAGAAACACAAAGGAGTAAAATGGGGCTGTGTTGGGAGAGTGCCAAGGGCTCGGTAAGGCTGGGCTGCAGAGGAGGCACGCGGCAGGGCGTTAAAGCTGGCTCTGTGTCATGCCAACAGGCGTGGGTTTCAGCTTAGAGTGATGCATCACAAACAGAGGTTTTTAAAACATGACATCACACAAGCAGTTATGCCTTTTCCAACAGAACTCAGACGGCCGAGGAGAGGGTGGATCACAAGAGGGTAGAGTGGAGTGGGGCGGTGTAATAAATAGTTCACGCTAGAGATGAAGGGCTGAAATAAGGCACAGGCCATGGTGGGTAAAGTGGGAGTGAGATGGAGAGCAATTAAGGAGACATCAACACCAGGAATCTGTGACAAGCTGCAGGGGTGCAGGCTGGATGGGCACCAAGGATGGCTGAGAGAAGTTCAGCTGGAATGGCCGGGGATGGTTTATAAACTGAAATTCTCAAAATCTGAGAACAAAGGAGAATGATCACGTTTGTGGCAAGAGAGAGAGTTCAGGTGTAAGTATGTTGGATTTTTCCTATCAGCCATAATGGGCCTAGACTGTACAGGGAGGTCCCATCTTACATTAAGGATCTGAAAGGAAACAGAAGATCTCAAATCACTTCCAAGCATGAGTCAGGGAGTTGACATTCAAGAGGAAGTCCGCAGAGAACCACCCACATTACGTCAAAGAGCTGGTCTCTTCAGCGTTCCTCGTGGTGGCTCCAAATGTGCTCAGGAGAACCCACACTCAGTGAGCTCATCAGGGTTCACGGTTCACAGCCGGGACTGAAAATGTGTGATGCTCATTCAGTGCTTAATTCAAAATACTTTATCCTTCATTCCCAATACCCTTAACAAGAGTTGCTCAAGGCCAGATGCTGCTCCACGAACCTGAGGTTATGATGAATAAGGCACTCAACATGGATTCTGTGAATGTCAACCAAATGCCAAGCCCGGAGACGCAGAGCCTAACCCTGTTACTCTAAGGGAAGTTACCCTGGATCTTGCTCAGAGAAGAAACCACACAGCTCATACCTGTGTTTCTGAAGTGTTATGGAAAATTGGAGGGAAGAATATAACACTAGTCAAGTCACAGCCAAGGAAAACCAAACAGAAAAGGTATCTGCTTCTAGCCAAAATGGGAGAGGGAGCATATGACAGAGTAAGACATAACTCACAGAGCAACTGCATTGTGGGCTGGCTCCGTGGACCACACCACACAGCCAAAGACCTCAAGGAACCACTGTTAGAAGGTTAGCATTTCTGCCATGTTCCCAGGTGACATTCCCCAAGGCTCTCAGATGCTCATAGCCACTCATCATAGCTTCATTATGCATGACTTAATCTATATCTTTGCAACATGAGCTAAACTTGAGGCTGTGTTCCAAAAGTCCACCACCAGGTCTTTGGTTTTATTCAAATGTGCTTCTTTTGAGCTGAAGGCAGACTTTCTTCTCTCATTCTCTCCGTTGAGAACTTTTTACCACCTAATTTATTTTGTATTTCACAGATACCCTGAGCCTGAGCTGATGTAAAGCCCTCTGCTAGATGCTGGGTAAACTGGCTAAAAGCTGAGTAAGGAACTTAGAGCCCATCTGCCACTAAGGAAGGAAGACAAATGAATGGAAGTCGAGGGCAACATGGTAAGTGTGGGTTAATGATAGGTCTCAACTTCCTGGCTACATGTTACAGCAGTGCTCGGAAGATGCTTGTGTATGCATGATTCATAAATCAGAAGCTTTCCAGCTCTAGGGCACCATCAGAAATGCTTTCACAGGGCAGGCTGCCTTTCAAAGAGACCTCAAATGTATACGTGGCAGGTCCTCAGCCTCCTCAAAACACTGTCTTCGATTTGCTAGGAAGAGGTTTGTTTTCTTTTTAACCTTTTGTATTTTGAAATAACTACACAAAACAAAAATGCACAGCTAATAAAGTATCCTAATCACCCAGGCCAATCAACAGACTGATGGCAGCACCTCCAAAGCTCCCTTTGCACACCCTCCCAATCACTGACCTCCCCTGCACCCAAAGAAAATCCTTTATCTGGATTTTCATGGTAATCATTCCTTTTATTCTTTACAGTTTTACCATCTAAGTAGCACCCCTTAATACTGGGTTAGCTTTGCCTATTTTTAAAAAATTTTTAATTTTTATTTTTTATTTTCTTTTTTTTCCCCATACATGTTTCCTGCATGGTTTGTCTCCTCAGTCATTGTCCACAGGACTCTGAGCAGCTGTGGGAACACGCAGGTGCAGACTCAAAGCCCACTTTCTCTCCAATGTTGTGGAAATGGACCAGGCATCAGGGGGCAGAGCCCGATGCTCCCCTACCCTACCTGGACAGAGCCCCGTGGACAGTGACCTCCCAGGGGGTATCCACATTGGAGCTTTGCCTGTTTGTAAACCTGATATAAATGGAAGCATACAGAAGTGTCCTTTTGGTCTGCCTTTTTGGTAAAATCCATGCATGCTGCTGAGTGTAACTATACTTTATTCATTTTCATTTTTTTATAGTATCCCAATGAGAGACTATATTACAATGTATCCATCTATTGTCAATGGACTTTTAGACTGTTGCTAGTTTGAGGCTATTACAAAATACGATTATGAATATTCTTCTTGGTACATATGTATGCCTTTCTATTTAGTATACAGCTAGCAGTGGAACTGCTGGGTTATCGGGTGTACATATCTTCAATTTTAGGATAATACCAGACTGTTTTCCAAAGCAGTTTTCCAGAACAGTCTGGAAAACTGATGGGGCTGTACACTGGCTGTACCAGTACAACCCCATCAGTAGTGCATGAGCATCTCTGTGCTTCACACTCTTATCAACGCCGGACACTGTCAGGTTTTTTTCATTTTTATTTCAGCCGTCCTGATCTCATTGTAATTTTAATTTGCATTTCCCTGATTACTAATGAAGTTGCACACCTTTTCATATATTTATTAGCCATTTCTTAATCCTCTTTTGTGAAGTACCTCCTGCCTATTTTTCTATTAGGTTGCCCTTTTCTTTTTTTCTTATTTTTTTAAAAATTTTATTTATTTATTTTTAGGCAGAGAGGAAGGGAGGGAGAAAGTGGGAGAAAAACATCAATATGTGGTTGCCTCTCACATGTCCCCCACTGGGGACATGGCCCGCAACCCAGGCATGCACCCTGATTGGGAACTGAACCAGCAACCCTTTGGTTCACAGGCCGGTGCTCAATCCACTGAGCCACACCAGCCAAGGCCCTTACAAGTTTTTTACATATTATTGACACAGTCCCACTGATGGTTATGTATGTTGCAAAAATATTCTTCTGGGGGAAATTTCCAATGTCCAAATAGTCAAATGGGAAGGATCTAGGGGGGGAAAAAATCTCTGTACCTTTTCTAAGTTAGCAGCCCCAGACCACACTTCAGCTTTAAAGGGAGATATATATGGAAAGGAAAGTACACAAGCAGAGATCTGAGCCACCAGGTTCAAGCCTCAGATCAGCCACTTCCTGAGTGCAATTAAGGCAAGTCACTTAAGCTCTCTGAGCCTTAGCATCCACACGTGAAAACTGACCACAATCACCTACTGCACTGTTGTTCTGTGCCTAAAAAAAGGTTATGTGCAAATGTGCTTTATAACTACAGTGTTAGTTGTTGTTCAATCAGAAGCCATGGGCCACACCAGCTTCCTGGCCTGTCTGGACCAGCTTCCTGAGCTCTCCCACAGCACTAATAGCAGAAGCAACAGCAGCAACCTTTCAGATCCCAGTTCTCTTTCCACATCTGAGCCAGAGGACACCTTCATCCCCCATCCCTCTCCCTGAACGGTACTGCCCACAGCTGGGAACAGGGCTCCTCCCTGCCTGCCTGGGCAGGAAAACAGGAAGCAGCTCCCCCCTGCCAAGAGGTGGGGCTGACAAGTTCCCTTTCCTAGGTGGGCATCTCTCCAGGCCATCAACCCTCTGGATGCGGGCAAAGCACTGGCCCCCAGCCCGCTGCACCAGGCTGCGCCCCACGCCCCACCCAGGTCTCCTCCACGAGGTCACATGATAAGTGTGTCAATGTATGGGGAGAGTAAATGGGCCCTCATCAGTGCCTCACAGGCAAGGAACCCTTTCAGTGCCCAAGTAGCGCTAGAGATCTGCTCTCCTGAGCCACACGGCCACTCCTCATCTCTTCCTGAGGTACAGCAGTACCTGGGCCCCATTCCATACACAGGGGGCATCTGGAAACTTTTCAAGCCAGCATAGAAAGCTCAGAAGAAATGCACATCCTTATTCCACAGTGTGAAAGCCTGTTGACAGGAGTTTTATAAGCTAAAATATTTGAGAGCTGGAAGGACCTTCAGAAGTCTTTTCCAGGCTCCTCGTTTTGAAACAAGAAATGCAGTAGCAGAGCCAGATTTTCGCCAGGGGAGGGCTCTCACATTCCTCTGCACTCACCCTAACATCCCCTCCAGGGGTGTCCAGCATGCGGCCTGCGGGCCGCACGCAGCCCAGGGTGTCTGTGAATGGGGCCCAACACAAAATCATAAATTTACTTAAAATATCATGAATTTTTTTTTGGTGATTACATGTTGCAATGTATTTAACGTGTGACCCAAGACAACTTTTCTTCTTCCAGTGTGGCCCAGAGACGCCGAGAGGTTGGACACCTCTGCTACACCTTGCCGCAAACTCCAGCACCTGCACGTGGCCACTGCTACTAGTCACATGCAGGTGCCTGAGACACTAGGTCAGTCAGTCTCCCTTCCTGGTAATATCTTCTAGCTCAGAAAGGTCCCAGCTGAAGAAGATAGAAGCCCTGGGAAGTCCAAGAGCATGTTTTTGGAACGCTCATAAATTATTCGAAACTTTACAGAAATTCTAACAATTGACCTTCAGCTCAAATTCTGTTCCTAGACTCTGCAGGCTTTCTCCTAAGTGAGTTCTCCAGCCTAGCTCGCAGGAGCTGGGTGGGGGCTTCCCTGGCAGCCTGGGTGCAAAGGCGTGGCACACAGGACAGAAACTTAGTAAGTAAGATTAATCATTAGAGCAATCAAAGGAGAAAGAGGGAGAATCTCCAAAATGTGCAAAGGAAAAGTGCTGGGCAAGAGGGCGCCTGCCTTAGTACCCAGGCTCCCTGTAGATCCTCCGGCCGTTTTATGTTCACATGTTTGGCAAACGGGCCGTACTGCCTGCCTCATGCAAGGCCCTGAGACCCAGACCCTGCCCCAAAGAGCTTACAGACTAGAAGGGAAGCCAAGATGTGGGCTTCCTTGGAGGAACGGGAGAGACACACAGTAGCGAGGGGCCCTGCTCACTTGACTACACGGTCTAGCGGAAACCAGGCTGCAGGGGCTGCCTCATGGAAGGAGGTGGCGTAAGTAAGGCCTGGAAAGGACAGGGATAAGGATAGGATGGTGCCGCATCATTCAGGGTCTCTGGGGAGCCAGCAAAGATTCTTGAAAAGAGGGAGTTATAGAAGCAGTGTTGGGCTTTAGAGACAATCCATCTGGCACCAGGCTATTTGGGGGGCAGGGAGGATGGGATTACAACACAGACATCAAGTAATAAGGGCAGGAACAGTGAGAAGCAAAGGAACAAGAGAAGTGTCATGGAACAGAATGTGACTGTGAGGGCAAGAGGGAAGGGGGACTCAGAACAGATGCCAGGGAGATGATGGGGACCAGACACAGGCACTCAGAGACGGGGGAGGCCTAAGCTGAGTTTGGCCCGTGTGTGGTTTATCTGGGGGGAAGTGCCCAATAGGAAGTGGTCACTCAGGCTAGGAAGCCAGAGGGGAGATGTGGGGAGTCGGCATCATGGAGGCAAGACCAGAAACCATCAGATGGTGGTGAGGGCAGAGGAAGTGGACAGGAGGTAAAAAAGAAGTGGGGTGAGGACAGCGCCTTGGGAACCCCAACAACAGTTAGTGGGAGGAAGGAGGAAGACAGCGGAGGGGGCCAGGCAGTGACATAGGGATGGGAATTGTGTAAGGCCAGGCTCTGGGACTGGTTTTCCTGGGACTGAGTCTCATCTCTGTCACTTCCTTCAGAATCCTGAGCTAGTTATTAACCCCTCTTCAGCCTCAATTTCCTCATCTATAAAATAGGGATTATAATTCGTAAATTTGTTCCAAGAATTCAAAGGGGCGGTTCATGTAAGGCCTTTACCAATTGCACATAGTAAGGGCAGTAAGTGTTGGCTATTATCATTAGCATGAGTGGGAGGAAACCATGGACCCAAAGAAAGTTGTTGGCCTCCTTACTACATTGCCAATACCAACTAAGGGAGCAGGAGGAGATAGGGGTAATTTTTACGTAAGGAGCCATTCCTGAACACCAGGGTTGAGAATGACAGATCCCTGTTAGTCAACCCTTGAATTTTTCAGCTGATGAATCAAAGGCTGAGCGTCTGCTGAAGACCATGAACAAGGTGGCAGAAATACCCTGACTTAAACATGGAGAAGACTCAGCTGTCCAATTATAAAGCCCTGGCTTCTCTCTTTATTCACTGTGTGACCTTGGCCAAGTCACTTGTTCTCTCTCAGTCTGAGCTGTTAAATACGATAATGGGTAGAAATCACCTAACATGTTCCTAGTACACAGCAGCCCCTTAATAAATATTTGTTTCTGCCTCTTCTTCACTAGAACCCAAATCTCCTGGCTCTTCCAAACACGTGATTCACTAGCATTCTGTACTCTGTGATGGGCTCCCCTTGAAGAGACTGTTATTCTCTAAGGGCTCCTCTGTGTTTCCAGAGCCCCAGCCTCTCCCTCTGATCCCAGCATTCACCTGCCACAGAGCAGAGCTGCTGAAATTTCGGTGTGCGCAGGAGCACGGGGGCTCTGGTTGAAACGCAGGCTCAGATTCGGCAGGTCTGCACTGGTCAGGACTCCAGTGAGGCTGGTGCTGCAGGTCCTCTGTCCTCGGGGTGGAGGAGCCCCACAGTGACTGGTCCGCCTCCCTGCTGACTCATGGGCTCCTCTGGGGCTGGTCTCCTTTATCTTACTCATCTCCATGTCCCCTACACGGTATGTGCTCACTAAATGGATGTTGAAAAGAATAAACAAACCATAGAGAAAACTTTTTTTCTGGCTAAGTAAATACAAGGAGGGTATTTTGTTTGTCTGTGAGTTGCAGTCCGCTTAGTTCATTTCGAATCACCCTCTGGAATTGGCACTGTGGGGACAGCGTGGTAGAAGGGGCCTGAGACCTGGAACCTGGAATCCTGGGTTTGAATTCCAACCCTTTCATTTGCCAACCAGTGGCCCTAGCTAAGTTACCAAGCTCTCATTCTTAAAGTGAGGGAGACATTACCTAACCATCATGTAGCCCAACAATGGCTGAAACACGCTTTATAAAGTGCTCCAGGCAAGGGGTTGTTATTACAGCAGCTATTTTGAGAGCAAGAACTTTTCATTTCCCTAGAGCCTGAAGGTTGCCTGTGCTGGACCAGAGGGAGGACACACCAGTCTAGTTGGAGATGAGGGCTGTGGCAGGTGGGTCTGGGGTCCCCATTCTGGCAGGAACAGTGACTGTGTGAAGTGTGAGGATGATGCCAGGAGAAGAGGAGCGAAGGCTTCCTGGAAGAGGCTGGCGGAAGTGAGGAAACAAGGATGGTCTGAGGGCACCGCCAGGACACTGGCCTGACCAGGAGGAAGGCAGAGAAATGGGAATCCTCTGGTGGGCATGGGGGAGGCTCCTGACTGAGAATGTAGGAGGCAAGGCTGGACCAGGAGGAAACCTGGAGGCGCAATCGTCAAGTAACTTCAGTTGTCCTCTGTAGTCCAGAGCTGAATAACCCACCCAGGCCAGGACTTCTCTGCTGGAGCTAACCAGTCATTTTCTATCATCAGCTATAGCCAGCTTACCACTAACACAAGCCTCAGGCATCTGAGGACACAGACAAGAACAAGACACAGTCCTGCCTCAGGAAGCTCATAGTTAACTGAGGGCAACATAGAAATGGTGACAGTATGAGGCAGCACGTAGGAGAGGCCAATTCTGCTCTCGTCTCCACCTCAGCCAATCTGTGTCATCCACGCTCACCTCCAGATGTTTCCTGATGTCATTCCCCGATCCTGGAATGGCCAATCCTCTCCGCTTCACCCAGCAAGTGCTAACTCATGCTGAAAGAGGTTCAGTCTTGTGTGAGGGCTTCCTATCCCTTCCCAACCCCACAATGTGCACTTTATGCACACGCTCTTGTAATTATTGCATTACCTAGTAACACTTCTGTCCCTCTACTGAAGCGTTAATCACAACCTGCATGATTACTTACACTGTGCTTTCTTATGTTTTATCTCCCCAGTTAGACTATACATAGTATTAATCACTGAAATAGTGCTCCACAGTTTACAGAATGCCTTCACACATATTACTTAAATTAATCCCCAAGAGCATTGTCTTTATTTCACAATAAAGAAATGGAGGCTTAGAAAGGACAGACAACTTGCCTGAGGCCACACAGCCCATCCACACGGCGGCAAGCCTTAAAACTCAAACCTCACCTAGCTCCAACGCCAACGCTCCGCCCAGTAGTCAGAGGCAACTTCCAGCTGTATGACCTTGGGTAGGTTACTTAACCTCTCTGGGGCGCCATTTCCTCCCGGATAATGTGGCTGATACCCTACACAATAGGTCCTTGTAAAGCTTAAAGAAGATAATACAATAAAGTACTTAAAACAGTGCCAAACACTAATTAGTTACAATGATCACTATTCCTTGGCTGATTCTCAGGGTCTCTTAACCCATTAAAAGTTTTTTTTCCTAACTTATTTTTATATATCACAAAACATTTGATAGGTAGTCATTAAACAAAATAAATTTTCGCAGATTGACTTATGCTAAGTTTTAGGATTGTTCTCTTTTCTTTTTTTCACTCTCCTACCCCCCAATAGAAAAAATCCCTTTTCCTGCTCCAGACTACCTCCCCACTCCCCACTAACCCTCAACACTAGGTCAAATTTAGCCAATTACAAGTGTTCCACAGAATAATCTAGACTCTCCTCATTCGGCTGTCCCTGGATAGTGAGGAAACATGCTAGTCATAGGTGGAAACTTTCACAAACCTAATTTCTATCGCTATAATGGGTCAAAGTTTTATTTCTTTATTGCTCCAGTTTTTACTTATTTGAGACTCTAGAAGGAACAGGGTACCATAAAATAACACCTATTTATTTTCCTTTCCCATCTAAAAAAAGAAGAGTATTCACACTGTCTCCTGGGGCAAGAAGCCTCATGTGATCAGGCAACTGGCAGAGGCACTCACACCCGAGGCACTCACACCCAAGGCAGACGGGCACCACGGCAAGCTTCCTTCTTTTCGTCAGTCCGGTCCACAAAGCCAAAGAACAAGCCTCCAACCCAGCTGGACTTTGAGAGGCAGAAGTGAATGGCCACCTCTCCCAGCGTGCCTGGGGTAGGATGCCCCAAGGAGAGGACACACTTTACTTTACATCAGTCCTCAATGATGGGCACACCTGCAAGGGGCCAGCGGTGGCTGGAAAGGGGAGAGGATGAAGTCCTTGGAGCATAAAGCTTTATTCTTTGCAAGATTCCATATATAGAACACTGAGTCAGGGCCTCACAATCTTTTCTATCTAAAAATTTGTGGGGGGGAAAGCAGAAGAGAGCAGGGGAACCAGCCCTCTGGCAGTGGAGGCCCAGCTGGATCTTCAAAGGTTCCACTCTAAGAGGAGGAATGAAGAACAACTTTGGCACTGGGATTAAAAGTACTGCACCCTTTGAAATGGATCTTGCATACAAACGAGCTGATGAACACTATAAACATGTCAGCTTAATTCTGTCAAATCAATACACCAGGCATTAAAACGCTGAGGTAAAAATGGATTGTGGCTTTTTGTTGATGACACAGAGGAATTTTGGCCCCCAGCCCTGGTCAGGCTGGACAAATGGGGCAGTCTGCCTATTAGCTGTCAGGCACATCTTGGGGGATGAAATCAAAACCCCAAGTCAGGGCACCACTGGGTAGCTAGCTCATCCTACCAGCATTGGACTGTCCGGTCAAGCACCTCCAATCCTACCCCTGGCCGCCCCCTCCTCCAGCCCCCAGTTATTTTCCGAGCTCAGCCACACTTCGCATTTCCTACGTTCCTTCTCACCGCTCAAACCCCTTTGGCCCAGCCTCTGAGGGCCGACAGCTGGGGGTGGTGTGAGCCAAGCAAGAGGCACTAGGAAGGGGGTACTGCGGCGGGGGGGAGTGTCGATGCAACAGAGAAGCGATCGAGAGAGGAGGAAAGGGCTCCCGACCCCTTCACATCACCGACACTTCACATCCCCAATTCAGCGCCCCACTCTTCGCCGCCACCTTTGCGTCTCAAAGTGGCTCCTCAACACACTCCCCCTGCCTAGGGGCACTTCCATTTGTCGCTTTTCGGTTCTTCCCCTGACACCGCCCCTGTGACCCCTGCACCGCCCCACCGGGACCCGCTCCCATCAGCCGCGCCGCACGGATTACGCTAGCTCCTCGGAGCCGCCCTGCCTTTCTCCGAGGCCAGCTGGGATGCCCGGGTCCCCGACCTTCCCGGGTCGACCAGACCTGAGCACGAGATGCCCCCTCTAGCGGTCCCCTTGCCCCGTCCTTCCCTTGGCCTGCAAGACCCCCACTCCCTTCAAAGTCCCTCCAGCACACCAAGTCTGTCGGGATGCCCCAGCCACGCACGCCCCCGGAGTCCCCTGGTCCTCACCTGAGTCCGCTCGAAACTCTCCCTCTCCGCCGCCTCCATCCCCGCGCCGACCCCGCGCCGGCTCAGCACTTTGGGCAGGGGATTGGGCACCTGCTTCATGGAGCTGGCCATCCTGTCCATGTTGCCGAGCGGAGCCGAGTCTGGGGCCCTCGGCCGCGCCGGGATCCCCACGGCGCCGTCCGCCCCGCCCGCCCCGCTGGGATCCGGCGCTAACGGGACGGCTGCTGCCTCTCATTGGTTGGGAGCGCTGCTACTCTCCCGGGGCCCCGCCCCACCCAGAGGTTTCCCTGCCCGCACTCGGTCCCTCCGAAGCCCCCCGGTGCGTCCCGCCTGGCCGAGCCCTCTGGACCGCCAGGCGCGCGATGACCGGCCCGGAGGCCTGTCCATCATTGAGTCCCACCGCCCCGGGCGGGGGCGGGGCGAGGGAGGAGTCTTGGAAGGCCCTGACCCACCCTCTACCGCCACTCCCCCGACGCTGGTGGACCGCCCTCCGCTCCGCTCTCCCCCGCCGTAGTTCGTGCCCTTTCCCCGCGAGTCGCGCTCTACTTCGGCCTGGGCGCTACGAGGTCCCCGCGTGGTGGGCGGGGGTCACCCTGGCCGGGAGTCGGCTCTCCCGCAGGACTTCTTGCATGTCTGGAATACCCTGTTTACTTCTTTCGGGCCAGGGACCTGAGAGCGCGGGATAGACCGGCCTGGCGGCTGAAGCCCCTGGAAGCTCTGCCCCCAGGCCAGGTTCCCGCAGGATGGGTCAGCATCTGCCAGACCTGGCCGCTGTGGGTGGCGGGCTCCACCCAGTTTTCTTGGCTTCCTCCCTTAGCTTGACCCCTTGCTGAATCCCTGCCAGTCTCCTTTGTAATGATTGCAGCCCTGGGAGCGCTGGGCTGGGTCAGTTGGAACCTCCCGCACCCTCTTTCCAAACCTCTCATCTGGACCGGCCAGAAAGCATTCGTTGGTAGAAACCCCTGTAGACACTTTCTGTTCATCCTTGGTTCTGGGCTACCCCTGCCATCCTGCTCAAACATCAGCCAAGGTACCCACAGGCAGAGGAAAGTGTGATGCTTACCGCAGACGCTGAAGAAAAAGTTTTCCGTAAATTTTGGTGTTGGGCGGGGGGAGCTTTGAAGCTTAAATCAAAGAAAGGCATTAAAATTTTTTTAACTAAAAAAATACAAACAAAAATAGAAAAATTTTAACTATGAACTTTTGATAATGTCAACATAAGAAAAAAACAAACATTCAAAACCTGTAGAGAATTTTGGATGAGTTTATTTGAGCCAAACTGACAACAATTGCCAGGAAGCAGTATCTCAACGGATTGAGAAATGCTCTGGAGAAAGGCAGTTTAGCCCCTTATTTTATACATTAGAATCAAAGGAGGAGCCATGAGGGTGTTACATGAAGTCCATTGATGATAGATGAGGACAGGAAGGAGAAAGCAAAAGGGGGAAACCTCTGGGATTGGATAAAACGTGAAATGGTCGACACAACTTCTTTTACATGGGTGGGGAAAGGATAGTTAACAGTCAACAATTAACAGGATAACAATAACAATAAGATTTGTGGCCTCAGCTTGTGCCCAAGGGGTTTGGGAAAAAGGGGAGTTAACTTGACCTTCCAAAGGTGTGTTATCATAGATGTAAAAAGACAAGAGACACGCTCAGTTAAGGTAAAAAGATTGACCTTTGTTAGGGAAAAGTGCTGGCCTAGGACAAGACTAACCACTGTAAACTACTTTTAATTAATATTTTAATTTTAGACCAGCCTTTGTGGTTACTTTAGGTCTGTGAGTTTATAAGACTGCCTCACAGGAGCCCCCTGAGTTTGTCAAGTTAATATGTGGCCCGTTTTCTTCCACAATAAAAAAATTACACATTGCATAGAGAAATGGAAGAGCGGGCTGGCCTTTGCAGGTGCGAGGGAGCTACTGAAGGCTGTTGCTCAGATCTGTGCTTCGCCAGGCTGGCATTGTGCGCGTGGGATCTTGGTGGGAGAGGGAAGGGAGGGAACTGACGGGGAGACTCCAGCAACAGGGGAGGGACAATGAGGCCCTGCACTAGAATGGAGAGGAGAAAGTTCTGTCCTGTGGAGGCCAGTGAATAGGCCTGGACAAGAGGAATGCTGGAAGAGAGGAGGCAGTGGTGAGGCTAGAATTTCTGTAGAAGAAGGGTGTAAGGGTGGCTATGGGATGGAGGGGAATTGCCTTGAGGCTACATTTGCATAACAAGCACACCTGTTTCACCTTTTTGTTGTTGTTGTTTAATTGTTTACATGGGAGGCTTTGGAGTGGCGCCCCTTGGGTTCCTCCAGGAAGGGGTTCATTGTCACCTAGTTTTTGAGGCTTTGTGTCTGGGAAATAGAGGTGACACTGCGTAGAGGAGCATGGTAGTAGCATGCTGGATGCCAGAGAGGGGAGGACTTCAGTTCTAAGCAAAGCAATGTCAACATAGACTTGGCCAGTAAGCAGATGATGTGTGAAAACAGAGGAGCCTGGGGAGGAAGAATTGAAATAGGGGAAGCACCAAGGCCAAGAGGGTAGGTGTTATCAATAAATTGTACCCTGTTAGGAGAAAAAGGCAATAGGTGAGTACCATGTTTGCAGTTGTTTGGGGGTTGTGAAGATGTATCAGTCAGAGCTGCAGAAGGAAAGGGATCGCTCCCCAGAAGGGCTGACTAGAAGTTGAAGAAGGAACTTGTACAAAGGTGTAACCTAGAATAAGGGTATCAACCAAAGCGGGGGAAGCACTCAGGGATTAGAACAGAGGAAGGTGTTACCAGCCCATACCTGAAGGGACAGGCTGACAAGAGCTGTGGCCTCAGGTAGAACACCAGTCACTGGGAGATCCCACTCTCTTGCTTTCTCTCCCCTCCTCTGATTTCCTATTAGTGTCTCGCACTGGCCAAACTCAGGTGGAAGCCAGAAGCAAGGGTGATACTTCAGTACTGCCGCCATCTCTCCTAGACACAGAGTAGAGTGGAAAAGAGTGAAGACTAGGTAAGGCGTGGGCGGGGGGCGGGCGCGGTGCGCATGAGGGTCCCACGCCAGGGGGCTCACAAGAATATGCCTACAAGGAAAACAGGCAAGATTCATAATAGTATAACTGTTGATGGCAAATACCTGGTTTTTCTTACTGACACATGTAAAGAATTACATATCAGCAAATCATCCTTCAGAGGAAAACAGAAGTCCAGAGCTCAGCTAGGAAGGCCTCTGGCGGTTCCCAGCTCCGTCAGCGGTGTTGCTGCGATTTCCAGTTCTTAATCAAATCCACGCGGCACCTTCTCATGGTCCACTAGCAAGAGTCCTTTATCCCCTTTCCTTCCCGCATGGTCTTCGCGTTGTTCCCCCACGGCGTGGAGCGAACAATCTCCAAGCTCTCGTGCATGTACACTTTAACAGGGGGAGCCGCCTGCATGGCTGCTACATCGTGGTTTCCTGCTTCCCAAAACTGCAAGGTCAAAAGCCTCTAGCTGACGCAACCTGGTTGCCGTGCCTGGGTTTAAACCCCTGGTGTGAATCCTCCCCGCCAAACCCCATCTCTGACTCCAGTTACATCCTAGGTTAAACTTATGCAAACTTTCCTGGTTAGCCTTGTTGGTAGGCAAAATCACCACCTTTGCATACGAGAAATGGAGAAATGGAGCTGTTACTTGCAAAGCAACTCTCTACGGCCCTGCTCCTTGTCTCCCATCCCCCACAGCAGCCCGCGGTGGGTGGGGTGTTGAAAATACCTTTATTTTTCTTGGACACCCCAATTTCTGGACCCCATTACAAATCCCCTTTTGGGGGGGCCTAGCTGTACCCTGTTACATTACCTTTGTGTGCCAGTTCTTAGTCCTGCACCCACCCCACATTCTGGACCCAGCTAGAGAGTGATTTATAACCCTTTCCCCAGAGTTTATGCTTCAATAAACAAGGGCACTTTAAACAGGGATTAAGGGATCTGCTTACTCCTTATTAGAATAAATCAGAATAGGAATTAGGAATTTGTGGTTTGGAGGCACCCAGTGGAAAACACTCAATCAAGTTACCTTCCTCTGTGAAACTCGGAGTGAGTTAAAAATAAGGACATCCCACTTGCCCCGGCAGCAAAACCGTTTGCCAACGGTTGAGGGAAACCACCCTCCAGCATATAAACTGCAGGACACTACTAGTTTACTTTAGCTCTAACTGTCTCTCCCCTCAGGTGGAGCCACTTGTTATACCTCCTAGGGATGCCGGATTTAGGGCATGGAATACTAGTCCCTCGGAAACCGAAAGGGGAATAAGTGTGATTATCTGCCTCTCCATAACTGGTAAAATCTGCCCCACGCCACACCTAGTTTGGATCTGATTTAATATCTGGTATGAGGTTATATAAGCTGACCACACTATTCCTACAGGTTCCTGAAGCCAAAGTACACATTTTAATAGTTTGAATGAGAAATCATTAATATACATTAAACTGCACATATTTAAAGTATACAATATGGGTTTGACATATATGTACACACATAAAACTATAATCTATAGTCTTGATTCACAATCAAGATAATGAATGTATTCATCACCCGCAAATCCCCTTTTGTAATTGAGTCTTACTTCCTCCCAAACCCCTTTGCCTAGGTAACTACTTATCTGCTCTCTGGCGCCATACACTAGTTGGATTTTCTAGAATTTTACATAAATGGAATCATACAGGCTGTATTCTTTTTCATTTGGCTTTTTCCACTAAGAATAGTTATTTTGAAATTTATGTATGTTGCCATTTGTCCCTTTAATTGCTGGATAGTATTCCAGTGTTGGAGAGTCCACAATTTATTTATCCATTAACCTGCTGATGGACATTTGGATTCTTTCCAGTTTTTGACTATTACCAAACAGAGCTGCTACAAACAGTTATATACAAGTCTTTGTATGAACATATGCTTTCATTTCTCTTGGGTAAATATCTTGTATGGTAGATGTATGTTTAACTTCTTAAAATTGCCAAATTGCTTTCCAAAATGGCTGTACCATTTTACATTCCTACTATCAGCATATGAGAGTTCCAGTTGCATCACATCCTTGTCAATACTTGGTATGGTCAGTCTTTTAATTTTAACCATTTGAATGAATATGTAGTAGTATCTCACTGGTATTTAAATTTGCATTTCTCCAATCACTAATGATGTTGACTGCCTTTTCAGGTGCTTATTTGACA